CCTCCTTCTTTTGGGAAGTCGGTCAAAAACACAACACTATTGAATAAATAATATTTTCATGCGACTTTTTGATTTCACTTTTTAAACATATGCCATGTCCTTATTTATTAGTGTTTTGAATATATTTAGATCTTTTTAACATCCTTGAGATTTTTTAATGTAACAAATTAATGTTATTAACTCTATACTAATATTGTAAAAAGGACAGATTTGTATTTTTTATTTTTCTATGTATTCGATTCACGTAAAATTTAATGGGGCGATTTTAAAAATACTTTCATCGTTAGAAAGATAGTTTATCTGCGAATAACATAGGCTATATTTTTTAATTTTACGCCGTCGAAGTCGCGAGTAACAGCTAGTCTTCAATATGTTCTACTAAGTACGATAATGGGTACTTCAGCCTTCGTTTACAATTTTTAGGCTTATTGACATTTATAGAGGTTCTGATAGATAAGGTACTGTACGTTAAGAAGCCTTATAAAGTTCGAATTTAAAAAGTAAAGTTTTACAATCTGTGAACCTTTCTTTTGCCAATCTCAATTTTATGTACCCTTTACACCTTGACCGGATAGCGGCCGATATACTGACCGTTACAATAAACCGACGGACTGTTTCATTTACAACGATATGAAATATAAAATACACAAGAGATAACATTTGCGCTTCGTAACATCTTGTATATTGCATCTATAATAATTCGTACAATTTAATAAAAAATCGTAAAAATGTTACGGTGGTTGCATTTTACGATTGCCCATGTGAAAGGTTAGCAGGTCAGATGGAAAGATTTCAATTGATTTTTTATTATTCGTTTTAAAATTTGACATTACGGTACACGGCACTGTTGCCGCCTAATTGCGCTATACAAATGTCAACTAATGACAGCATGACAGAAGCGACAGATTATTAAAATATTCGTACTCTGTAATTTTAAACCATGTTATTTTTAATTAACTATTGTTAATTATGTATTCATAATTTGTTAGAATACATTCAAATTACGATTAATTATAAGTATTACATTGTTAAAAATGGCCAAGCGTCTTAAGTAAACTATTCTAAATTCCTTAGAGACTCATAAAAGTAAGCAGAACCCTTTTTTTCTGATTTTAATAGAGATTTATCACTGCATAATCGTGCTTAATTTTGTGCATAAAGTGTTATTTCTTGTGCAATTTTTGTTTACATTTTTAAATAGCTTAATCTGTAAAGGTTGATAGATAGCTAGACCTAGCCTATAAAGATAACCTAAAAAGACAACAAACATTTAAAAAAGATCCCTAATAACCTGAAGAACATTATATTAATTAGATACGTATTCAATACGTGGACATATCAATAGAAAGTTTGCAGCTGACGCAATGCACATGCAACCAGGTCAAGTGTGTTCAAACAAATGCGAAATGGAAGTAGGTGTGTCCGTGATTTCCGAATTGTGATATTTAAATAATACTGCGTATCTACATTATGGATGATCAGCTTAATTAAACACAAGGTTTTTATTGAGTGGCACAAGCAACGCAGATACACAAAACATGTTGTTTAAAATTGGATACTATGTTTATATGAAAACTGCATTGTATCAAATTGGATATCACTCTTAGTATTGCGACCTGTGTTTTACAATTCATAAAAAAAAAACAGTAAATATTTGACCTTCATTTTTTATTAGCGATTGACTCTTTGAAAATTTAATATCTTCATGGAAATTTCGCAGTTATAAAGAACGCCAAACAGTTAGTGGAAACTGAGATCGATATATCATTACAATTTAATTGTCTGTCAAATTCTTAAAAAATAACGGGTAAAAGCGGCAGTACATTGCAGAAATAAAGTTTCAAACAAATATAATGGCTACTGAGCCCTCGAATGAGTTAATTTAATGGACCCTCATAAACATAACGACGCGACTGCGTTCCATATGAATTTTAAACGTTGTCCGTTTGCTTAGGACGCCTGCGGTAATTTATTAGCAAATTCTCTCGTGATAAATATGGCTGTATAAAAAAGTAGAAGCTTGTAACCCACTTTTTCATTAAATATCAAATGTGTTGGCGGTTGGCTTCTGTTTTCGGGAGATATTAAGAAAGTATAAGTAATATGCTATAAAATAATCACACCAGAAAGATCAGAAATTATACATTATTTTGTATCTGCGAAGTCCAAATTTATACACCTTAAATATGACCTACATGTAAAAATGCGGTATAAAGTTTAAGCTTTTAGTGATTAACCTCAAAATTGTCAGTAAATTTATACAAAAAAGCTACCGCGTTTTGGCGGGAAGAATTCTGCATGCCAAAAAAGTGCTTTATGACATTTTTGACCACAGGATATATTATTAAGTCACTTTAGAGCTTTTGTTATGTGCTACATTCAGTTTCTTTAGTGGCGATAAAATCTTTAAACAATATGTTTATTCGTGGTTGTAATGTTCATTCACATTTACATAAAAAATATTTCTTATACTGCATTTCTTTTTTTTTAAAAAAAAAAAACAAGAAACATATCCCAATTCAAGACAATCGACAGCATTTGTTTGAGATTGAAAGATTATTCGTATTCTTTAATTTTTTACTACAGATAATACAATACTAAATTTTTTGCTGAGAGCGGCAAAAACATTTAAATCCACTTCATTTAGAGTAGTGCTGAATTAAAATCCGTACCTACTTCCTTTTGGATTTCGGGCGAAAACCTTAACAGAAAACTATTATGATTTAGATGAATTATAAAGTCACGGGCATAGATTATGATATAACTGGGTCAAGCGCATATACTGTCATTCGTGGAAATGGGGTTCTGCATATCTTATTAATATTATAAATGCGAAGTTTAGATGGATGTTTGTTAGAGTTTGTAGACTAAACGGCTGAACAGATCTCGATGAAATTTTGTTTAGAAGTAGTGGATAATCTGGAAGAACACATAGACACTTTTGTTTTTTTTTTTTGTAATTTAACACTAAATAACAAGTGTAAAATTAGGACATTTTTAATATGAAAATTTTAATAGAAAAATATGGGCGTCGCCAATGGGATAGAAGGATCAACTGCCCCCTTATATAACCAAACAATGTATAATAACTATAAATTTACTTCGAATAAGACCAAATTAATAGTAGCTATATCCCCTTAGATCATCAGCTAACGATGCCCTTATGAGTAGAAGTAAAGTATTCTCTCCCTCACACGTCTCTTATATTATAGTTTTAATTTACATAAGTCATTATTATGTTCTTATTACAAGATTATAATATCTTACCAACTTTCCATTTGTACAACGGACAAAACACTATTAGTATTCCTTTTTATTTAAATGTTCCCATTCACTATGGCCATAATACTCCAAATTGTATAATCACAAAGACATGTAGATTTAAAAAAAATACATACAATAAACTAATTCGTGTTTACGATACCAAAACTTAATAGCCCTTTATAAAGGGCAATACTGCAGAACCCGAATCCTTTAATTTCGCAATTAACGGTTGCATGTCAACAGGCCTATTACGATCCCACATGAGATGTAAAAATGTTAATAATTACATCATTAAGAGATAATAGCTGAAATAACGATGCATGTTTGTTACCGATTTGCGTCGATTGAGCGGGCATATAACAGGAGTACGGGCGGGAAAAATGTGCATATCGAAGTTGATTTTGCCAGGACAAAGTGGAGCACGAGTTAGTGAAAGTGCTGGACATTCTTTCTCTCTTTCTCTCACGATTTAACGCACGGAATACTGGCCGGCGATACTCACTTGTCTTCCTTAATCAACTACCGGCCGGAGTGGAGTGAGTAGCTTTTGTTTTTTTTTATAATCTGTCTCTAATTAATTGTTGTGGTTGTGATTAATCTGTGATACGTGTTCTATGTTTGAATATCATTATATCTAGAGACGTCTTAGAGAAAGTTTTCACTGTTAATGAAACATTTTTGCGCAGTTTTTTAATACGTACACGTAAACAAAATTTACTTTTTTAATAAATTAAAAATATTCACGGATGACATCAACTGGTTACTACTTTAAAATTAATTTATTTATCATCTTATTGGAATTTAGTTAACCGACGTGTTCTTTATAGAACATCCACCGACTAAATAAAACATTCTTCGTGACCACGATTAACGTTGTATTAAAATAAAAAAATAAATCACATAATCCTTTACCGTTGTACCGTGAAAAATTGCTGGAATTCGTTAATACAGCATTATAATTTATTAATCGATGTTTAAAAAGTTATAAAGCTTAACGACAGGACAATGAAACCTTATCCAAGGTTTGACATTGGTATGAAACAATATTTTTTTTATACCGGCCAGTATTATTTTAGTCTGGCCTAATTTTTTTTTAATCGCAAAAATGCACAAAGGTTTTTGTAAATATTTTTGTATAACAGTTCGAATTAGTGGGAAGAGCTTGAATCGTTTTAGATTTATGTCTTATTTAAACTACTTTCTATACATTATTTTATTATATAGGGGAACAGGAAAACTATGAACTCTCTATTGCTAGTAGAACGGTTGCGGGCGCGATGCACAATGCATATCAATTGGACATTCCGATTCTTAATGTTGCCAACATAAAGGGTTAAGATCATAAAGTTGGGTATTTTATGGTAATTATCTTATTTGTATTAATAGAATGCAGACTTCTTGTACGAGGAAAAAGGTCCGTTACAATGTCCAATGTATCACAGAGTAAAAAATAAGACTGTTTTAAAAGCTTTGTCTGTGCCGGATTTTTTTTTAATTTCCTCTAAATGCGTTGTAGCTTCCGATTTAGCCCATTGAATTGTTATTAGTGTTTTCGGCATCCGTGAGAAAAACATGAGGGGTATGCTAATTCGTTAGTGATGGGATGAGTGATCGAGATAGCGGTACCTCCGACCAGTTCGGACCAGCAACGGACGCCGGCAACCGGTCTCGATGTCCTTGATTCGAATAAAAATCTGCCGCGAATATGGTGACCATCATGTTTAAAAAATCTTAAAGATTTTAGACCTCATTTTATAATTGTTAAGGTTAAACTTTTCAAGATTACATTACAAATAAATAATGGCAATTTATTGGTACGTAATTGTTAATTAAATTATAAAATAATACCAAAACAAGTTCAAGCATTGACAATAGCAAAATATTTTTTTTTAGACAATCTTTTCATTCCTTACAAAATAGTGTACTTTAATAAAAACACAACACATAAGTAATTCAATCATAACTCAGAAGAAAAAATTAGGGAATTTCATAAATTAAAATGCGTACATGGTCACCCCACAACAACAAATTTTACTTTATGTTTAACTGTCGTCCGAATTTGATAATTTACTGTGACCCAGTAAACGCGAAGCCCCATAATAAACGCACCGAATAAGGCCTTTGTCGTATAACATTTGTAAATGTATGGAATGCATTTTAACAACTTTATTTCAATACATATATTTATTCTTTACAATTCAAAGTGAGGCTCGATAACGGTAAAGCGCTTTGGTGTAATTAAAATTAATATTTACTTTTGATAGGATTCACAATGACTTTTATAATATAAAAAAGATTACGTTACCTACTTAGCAGATTTAATTTGTCTTGTATATTATTGTAGCATGTAATTAAATATAAAATTATCGACATTAATTATGTTTTATTACACGAATTACTTTTCCCATTTATCTTTTAATTTATTACGAGAGACATACATTAATTTTATATTCATTCATATGTTTTTGCGTACTTTTATCATTTTGTTCATCTTTTTAAATTATTCTTCTTTCAAACAAATTTTTACCCTTTAAGACGTATTATTAAAATTAAATTGCACTTACCACGGATAATACTAAACTAGTATGCACGGTTTACACTTAGCTAGTACAGTTGGTTAATAGCGCTCTGACTGGACCGTCAAAAACTGGCAGAATGTCAACGCTAATAGGCGCCAATGAGTGTCGCTTGTCGTCACAACTGTCCAACTATACTGGCCAAGTGTTTACAAGGCATTATTACCATAATTTGTATTGAGTACCCTCAATACGGAGGTTTTGGTATTTAACATTTTTGCATTTTTGTTACAGAATCATGAATTTGATATTCATTTTGCTAGTCTGCGTCGGTCTATCGAGCTGTCAGACAACAGAGACGGTGCCTGAAAATGGA